TTGTGATATGATATATGGGATTTGCTTCAAAGTCATCCAATTGGGGTTGAGAAGTAGGTACAGATATAGATGAAGCAAGACTGGCTATGAGGCAATCATTATTGATGTTGGATGATATATATTTAAGGGTTTATTATACAATTATCTCTATTTTTATATACTTTTCTGAAATTTCCCATAATATAAAGTTTTTAAAAATTAGTTTTCACCTGGAACCATATGTTGATTGGGTGGCAGAGGATGGTGAATATGAAATGAGAGGATAAAATGGATAACTTACAGCAAGAAAATAAAAAGCTCAGATGCCAGAATGCTGGAATCAGGCATAAAAATGCAGGGCCACCATACTGAATAAATCCCATTGTGTCTGTGGCCCTCATTCATAAATTGATCTTGCAGGTTACTGAATTGTAACTCCAATTGGATTAACAGTGCTGCCAGTCTTTTATGTGAACGCTATGAAAGAGGGGGCTCTTGGCAATTATATTTGTGTGGGTAACAGACAGAAAGGAATAATTCGCACTCCCCCAAGTCCTTTAAAAAGGTTCCTTTGGTGTCCTCTTTGCCTAAGGAAAACAAAATTCTCCTCTCCTATGCTCTATATCCTATTTCTTCTTGTGATCAAGATTCAAACTCAGCATGAGCCAGAGAGTGATGTTTAGAATCAGAATCAGGAAGTGAGTCATCACACCTGACATGAATTTTTTAATTTTCTAAAGATTGTTGGGAAGACCTGGGGAGAATATGTGGGTGTGGACTTTAAGGGTGCCTAACTGTATTAGTTCATTTTGTGTTGCTATAAAAGAAATAACTGAGACTGGGTAATTTATAAAGAACAGAGGTTTATTTGGCTTTTAATACTGGGATAGCTGCATCTGGCATGGGCCTCAGGCTGCTTCTACTCATGGCAGAAAGCGCAGGCAGCCAGTGGGTACAAGCAGATCACATGGTGAGAGGAAGCAAGAGAGAGAAGAGGTGCCGAGGTCTTTCAAACAACCAGTTCTCATGGGAACTAATAGAGCAAGAACTCACTCATTACTCCCCCTACCTAGGAAGAGCATTAATCCATTCATAACGGATCCACCCCCATGACTCAATCAGTTTCCAACACTGCCACATTGGGGATCAAATTTCCATGAATTTTGGAGGGGACAATACATCCAAACTCCATCAGTAACCAAGGGTCAATACATGGTATTGCCATTTCTTAATTATCACAGACACTAAACTCAAAAATTAAATGAAGTTTATTGCAGATGCTTTTTTTTTAGAGATAGAACAATTCTTGTGTGCCTTCCTTAGTCCTCATCCTGAATGTTTCCTGCTAGCAGATGACTTCCTCTGAACCAGACTTCTTTTGAGTTCCCTTTCACCAGTAAAGGATCAGGATGTGTGCTCCTTGGTTGCTAAAATCTTTTGAAGGTGACAAAAGAGAGGAGTTGAGTGTCTTGCAAGAGCAGAGAGGGTTCCCCAGCTAACCTGAGCTGATCCCCCTGAATCCTGGTCATGCCCTCTTTTTTGAAACTCTCTCTTTACTGGGCTTCTGCAATACCACACACTCCTTCATGTTCCTTCTCTGGCTCTGCCTCCTTGTCCCAACTTCTTTTTTTTTTTTTTAAAAAGATGACCAGTAAGGGGATCTTAACCCTTGGCTTGGTGGTGTGAGCACCACGCTCAGCTAGTGAGCTAACTGGCCATCCCTATATAGGATCCGAACCTGTGGCCTTGGTGTTTTCAGCACCACACTCTCCCAAGTGAGCCACGGGCCAGCCCTGTCCCAACTTCTGAATATTGGAATTCTACAGGACCATCCTTAGCCATCTCCTCTTTTGACATTCACTCCCAGGCTATCTCATGATTTCAAACAGTATCTACACCACAATGACTCTCAAATACATATCTCTACCCCCATCTCTCCCCTGACCTTCAGACTTGTACATGCACCTGCCTACTTCACATCCCCTCTTGGACGTTGAATAGATATGTAACAAGATAGTAAAATGAACCTAATTTTAGTCAGAGTATCTCTTAAGGCGATTGATGCTATGTTCTATAATGAGGTGTGGGGACTATTAAGGACTTGTAAAGAGGAGGTCAGAACTGTTTCTTGTAACTTTTAACCACTCATCCACAATAGGAGTATAAAAGGGTCAGAAGTTGAAACTGAAGAAGAGGTTTCTTTGCAAAAAGTTGTTGGTGTTTTTTGAGCCCTTCCATCCATCACCACCAAACGGAGGGGGAAGGAGGAATCTAATACTCCCTCTCCCTAGGCTTAAAGTGGCTTCAACAGGATCATTCAGCTACATGGAGACCTGCTATCAGACTCCCGCCTTTGAAAACTAAGGGTGAGAGGCTGCCTAGAGTGGCCTGGGGCAGCAGACCAGGGGTTGCTGTTAGGGAGTGGTCAGGGTTCAGGGGCATGCTTGCCATGGTCCAGTGATGGATTCATGTGAAAAAATGAATCTGGGGTGTGTTTCCTTGGATCCTGCCTAGAGGAGCAAGGGGGTCTCCGCAGAATGAAGTAGTAGGAGTTCCACGAGATGACTTCTGCCAAAGACAGTCATTAGCAACAAGCTGGAAAGGAAATCCTCAGGTGAGAAAACCCCAGCAATAGGAATTTTTTCTAAAGATCGCTTGAAAGTGCCCCATGAGAGACAACATTAGCTTTAAACACCTGCCAAGCCTGGAGAATGCTTTACACTAAAATAGATCATCATAAAACTAATAGGTAAGAACTTTCCTGCCCCTCCATTACCTCTCTTTCCTCCCTCCCACTGTGACTCTAAAGAGATCAGAAATCCCCTGTGGCAAGATATGGAGATAAGAATAAAAGAGTAAGATGGGGAAGAGAAGACATCTACCCACTCCTTTCTTGTAGTGCCCGCCTCAGCAGCCCCAGGTTAGGGGAGAGGAGACCTCAAGGGAAGAGGTCACTATGCCAGACTGGACATGTTAATTACTGAACCAAGACTGTCTTTATAACCAGAAGACTTTTTATTATCTGAGAATGCCCAGGGCAGGGGAAGAACTATCCCCAACAGAACAGGTTTAAATGGACGGTGAGGAAAAAAATTATAACCACACCCTACAAATCCTCCTTACCCATTGTAATGGTACAAGTAACTTGAATTTCACCAGACACAAACAGGATTATTCCTTACTTCTGCACTGCTTTCCCACTCCCTGCCAAACCTGCTTTCCCCTCTGTGTGGCTCCGGCTAGGCTAATGTCAGAATCCTGCCGACACAGCCAATTGTAATGTTCTTTTACCTGCCCGTAATCCTGCCAACTGGGCCAACTGTCAAGCTACTAATTCTGTTGGTGATGCCAATGGTAAAGCTACACAACCATGCCAGTTGTTGGGCTCTTTTACCTGCCGGTAATCCTGCACCGACTGGGCCAATTGTCGAGCTAGGTCTGGGTCTGGAGTTCACAGACCCCTCAAGCCCATTGTCCAGACTGAGTCACAAACCCTTCACACGCCAGGCTGGGTCACCAGACCCTTTACATGCAAGTCTGTGAGCTAGGTAACTGGCAAAACAGGTCTTTGGAAGCCATAGGTTGGAAAGCATGGCCGCTCCTGTGGCAGTGGCCTCCCATAAACTCCAACCAAGGTGGCAGCCCTGTGCAGGCGCACTAACTCCGCCCCCACACAACCTATTCACAGCAAATGCTCGGCAAGATTCTGAACATCTGAGGGGCCCTGACCATTTTTCTATATTTTCTCTACACCCTCATACTGCCCTAAGTTCAGTGACTGGGACCACAGTCCAGCCAGGACCCTCAGGACAAGGTTCTCAGAGTCCCATGTGGAATCCAAATGAGTTCCAACGGCACATTCACTTCTCTGCTCCTTCCTGCCGCCACAGGTCTCCAGCAGCAGTTGTTCCCACCTGGTTTGGTGCCCTGGCCTCCCCCCTGCTCTCCCTGCTTCTGCTCTTGCTCCTGTATACCAGTTCTCCGTGCAGTAGCCATATTCTTCTTCTTAAAATGTTCCATCATATTTCTCTCCTGCTCAGAACCTTCAAATGTCTTCCCCTCACACTTTGGATTTTATTCTGACCCCTTCTCATGACCTCTAACCCCCACATGACCAGGCACCTTCCTCCTCTCCAGCCTCATCTCCTGTCTTTCTCTCTGCACTCACTCCGCTCCAGCCTCATGGGCTCTTTCTTGCTGTTTCCTGAACACACCAGCCTCACTCCCATCTCAGGCTTTTGCTGGTGCCTATCTGCCTGGACACTCTTCCCCAGATCTCTCCATGTCTCACTCCCCCTGGTCCTCAGACCTTTGCACAAATGTCATCTGTTCAGAGAAGCTGCTCTGATTTCTCCACTTACAAGAGTCCCCCTCATTATTCCCCCTCATCCTCCTGCCCCTTTTACCTGTTTTGTTTTCCTGGCTGCACTTACTACTAACTCATGTAATGTTATATACTTATTTGGTTATTGTGTCTCCCCTGTCATAATGTAAGCTCCATGAGATCGGAGATTTGTGTTTTGCTTATGTGTGCTCCTTGGTTGCTAAAATCTTTTGAAGGTGACAAAAGAGAGGAGTTGAGTGTCTTGCAAGAGCAGAAAGGGTTCCCCAGCTAACCTGAGCTGATCCCCCTGAAGCCTGGTCATGCCCTCTTTTTTGAAACTCTCTCTTTACTGGGCTTTTGCAATACCACACACTCCTTCATGTTCCTTCTCTGGCTCTGCCTCCTTGTCCCAACTTCTTTTTTTTTTTTTTAAAAGATGACCGGTAAGGGGATCTTAACCCTTGGCTTGGTGTTGTCAGCACCATGCTCAGCCAGTGAGCAAACCGGCCATCCCTATATGGGATCTGAACCTGTAGCCTTGATATTATCAGCACCGCACTCTCCCGAGTGAGCCATGGGCCGGCCCTATGTTTTAGCTTCTTTTACTGTCATGTTTTGATAGCCTCCCATATACTTTCTTGCTTTCTTCCTCAAAATTTTAACAAGTGCCTGCTCTGAGTCAGGCAGTGTTTAAGGGGCTGGAGACATCGTGGTAAGCAAAACACAAATCTCCGATCTCATGGAGCTTACATTATGACAGGGGAGACACAATAACCAAATAAGTATATAACATTACATGAGTTAGTAGTAAGTGCAGCCAGGAAAACAAAACAGGTAAAAGGGGCAGGAGGATGAGGGGGAATAATGAGGGGGACTGTTGTAAGTGGAGAAATCAGAGCAGCTTCTCTGAACAGATGACATTTGTGCAAAGGTCTGAGGACCAGGGGGAGTGAGACATGGAGAGATCTGGGGAAGAGTGTCCAGGCAGATAGGCACCAGCAAAAGCCTGAGATGGGAG